TCCTGGCTGGACGCTTAAGCCCTTATAATATAAAGACATGTCCAACAAATGGCTATCAAGTGTCTTTTTCTCCATTAAGCTCTCAGTATAGAGAAACATACACATGCACAGACAAATACGGAAATTCTGTCATCATTTACTCACTCCTACACTCTTAAAAATAAAGGTGCTTCACGATGCCATAGAAGAACCTTTTTGTCTAAATGGTTCCATAAAGAACCTTTAACATCTGAAGAACCTTTCTGTTTCACAAAAGGTTCTTTGTGGTGAAAGAAGGTTCTTCAGATTACAAAAAGGTAAGAAAGAGATGGTTCTTTAAAGAACCTTTGACTGAATGGTTCTTTGTGGAACCAAAAATGGTTCTTCTATGGCATCGCTGTGAAGAACCTTTTGAAGCACCTTTATTTTTAAGAGTGTACTTTAACAAGATATTTGGAAAAATCAAGATATTTTGGACCACACCAACTTTCATTGTATGGACAAAAAATATTTTATCTTTATCTATTGTAAAAACATTCTTCAAAATATCTTCTTTTGTGTTCCACAGAAAAAAGAATGTCATACAGGTTTGGAACGACATAAAGGTGAGTAAATGATGACAGATTTTTAATTTTTGAGTCAATTATTCCTTGAACAACTAAACCACATTCATTAGAAAACCCAGAATTCTATGCAAAGATTATCTATATATAAATATTTATTGAATATCCTCGATAAATTCCACCTACTGCAAACCACATCTATTCCAAATGTGCAATTATCAGTTGCGTGGCACAGGGGAAAGCGAGAGAGTAATATCCTGTCTCCTGTTTCCTATCTTCTTCCAGGTTCTAATCTCAAGAGTCTGCTTCACTTATGTGTTATAACTGAATGGAGTGAGCAAATCATCACCCTGCCTGCTGGAATCCAACACCTCTCTTTCAAAAAGACTCCCGGGTCCTAATCAATTACACTGATTCACACTATCAACATACTTTCCTTTCTTTTTCTCTTTTCCATCCGAAGAGAAAAAAAGAAGAGAAAACATCCATAACCAGCCATCACCGGAGACAAATTTATGGCTTCCTTAGTGCCATTATCAGGCCAGTGGGCCAGCATACAGAAAAAGAGAGAAAGAGAACTCCTACAGCAGACTAGCTCTCCTGTGACCAGTCAAACACACACTCTTTATACGCTGTGTGGAGTAAAGAGGAGATTCTGTAAGACTGTAAAGTGTACTGAGCTCAGGTGTCTGCACCAAACAACAGGACTTTGAGAAATATCGGCATGATAAGCGGAAGCTCAGTCGTAAATGTTCAATGGCAGGGCAGATAAATTCCCTATCAGTGTGTTAATCTCAAGTCTGTAACAAATACAGGTGTAGTGACTGTCACATAATAAGCACAAATGTAATTGGTGGGGTGAAAAGTTTAGTGGGGAGCACAAAGTCCACCTTGTAGCAATTTTACTGTCATTTCACTGTACAAGGAACAATCCTAACTATTCAGATTATTTGGATTTAGCATGTGAACAAATAAAAAACTAAATAAAAATTGCAGCACTCATTATATTGAGTGTTAATCTTATAAATAAGGCTTTCAGTAAATAATAAAAAAAAAAAATCAAAATATAATAGAAACATTTTGCATGATATATTTATTATTATAATAAAAAGTAATAATAAATAAATACTAAATATTATGACTGTGTCTGATAACAAGACACTCACGTACAACAAACCATTAATTGCTGTAAAATATGTTTTGTAATGATTGTTGTATTACCTAACTGAATTACTTGCCACTACCTCTCCCTTTCACTGCTTGATATTAATTATTTTACTTTAAATGCCAGACTGGATGTGATTCAGTATTTACATTAGTAGTTGACAGTGATAGAGGAATGAGATGTTAAGTACGCCCATTAATGACTCAGCGTCTCTGGCATAAAGCACTGCTCATTAACAGCACAGAAGACAACTTTAGAAGTCTCCATGGAGTTTCGCTGAAATGGGTTAACCTCAGACCTACACAAATAATAAAAACCTGGCTCTGCATTGACTACTTTTGAAAGAATAGTATTGATTGGGCGTATTTGGACTGTTACATCAGAGGCTGTGCTGCGCTGCACCAGGCACACAAAATCAAAAGTGAGAGGGGGGTGGGGATAGAGAGAAAGAGACCAAGAGAAAGAGAGAAAGAGGGAGATGGAAAAGGGTGTGAAGGGAGTTCACATCAATAATGCCCAAACTGAAACCCCCCACACACCCATACAACCAGTACACAAATTCCTAAGGATGAATCCTTCTCACACTCCCATGTGTTTCTGAAAGCAGGTTTGCAATGAGAGCAGGAGACGCAGGGTGTGTATGTCACAGGTGTCTCCAGCTCTTGCTCTGGCTGAACTTTACTCTCTTTACCACAGTGATAATTGGCCTGCACTGCACTTTGACTTTATTCTCTCACCCAGGGTGCGAACTACGGGGGAGCTAGGGGGAGCTCGGCTCCCCTTAATAAGACATGGGCTCCCCTGAAAACGGGATTTGTGAAATTTTGGGGGGTCTCAAATAATACTGACAATGTGTTATTTTGACGTGCAATTTCAGTTTTGTGTAATGTGATCATCGTGGATTATTATGTGTAAAATTGCAAAAATATCATTCATCCATGCATGACGGCGATTTAAACCTAATTCACTTCAATAAAGATAACTATACATGCTATTCTTGTCATGAGCATCAAGGTGTGGGGGCGCTGCGGTGCAAATTCCACTCATGTTTAGTACATGTTAACCCAAAGATTCGTAGAAAAAATATAAACGCTGGACTCTGTGGTCGATTCTGTGTTAAGGCATGTTATTCGCAATTAAGTGTTGTGGCTGGGTTGTTATAGGTCTGCGTGACTCTCGATGTCTTAGGCCTAATTGAACGGAGGAATTATGGTATTCTTCTGTAGCCTGACGACGAGTAACTTTAACCGTTGTTCATGTGAACTCAAAGACAGCCCCAAAGTCCACGGTATAGTTCGAACACTGCTCTCACCTCACAGCAATAAAATTATTACTGTCAAAACAGGCATAATTTAAGATGACCTTACCAAACAAAACAAGAAAGATTATATTTTATAATCATTTTATGGAATGATTCAGCACTTCTTTGTCATTTTCAGAGAGATTAATATAAGATGACTACATTGAAATCATATAATAGTGCTGAAACTTCATTACATCTGAATAAGTCCAAAATTAATGTCTAAAAATGAATGTGAAAGCCGACTTTGACATGGCATACTTTGCCTTCTTGTCATTATAATAGGCTATACTTGTTACCAACCCTGCAATTTTAGAGTTGTAGAAAGTTTCTGTTTTAAATCTTCTGGGTTGTATCCCATAACACTTGCATTTAAAACAAGTGTCCATAAATTTCATACACATGATCCGGCTTGAGGTAAAGTAGTTGCGCTGTGATCACAATAAAGAACATATGGCGTGTTGGTGATTTTTTTTTTTTTTTGTCCACAACATAAAGAAATTATGATTCATTTAGATACTAAGCTGAACTATAGACTGTACCACAGAATTCAAAGGAGAGAGAGGCGGATCTCTAACGCGCACCGAAATGCCTATAATTTAACCCTTTGACGCATACGATCACACCGGTGTGATTAGAACTTTCAGTGCGTCACGTCATCTGAACTGCTGAATTTAAATCCGCTTTGCCTGGCGCAGAGCCAGATAGGACGCGCCAAGCGCTTGTCATATTATCACAAATATTCATTGTTTTCAACCATATACTACTTATTTTAGGTTTCAGACGTTTAAATACACATAAGTACTAGCAAAACCATACATTTACAGTTTGTAAAATGCACGCTGATGTCTATGGAAACGGCAATAATGATCCTTACAAATATAATCTGACGACATGTTTTTATTGATATCATATACAGATTGTGTAGGTAACTATAAAGTTTACTCTGCTCTTCTCCCAGTTTACCGGAGACCTACTTTAACGTGTTTCGGGAGGAGAGGATGAATTTGCGTGTTGTAAATCCTACAGCTCGGATTCAGCGCGAACTAACATGGCGGCGCCCATCACCCGGTATAGATCAACTAACACGGTCGATATAAAAGTGTTTAAACTACCAAATAGATTTAATTGCACATATTTCAGAATCGGAATATCAGATATTTCATAATATAGTGAGCATGTTTGTGAATATTTTGAATAAAACAGGAAAAAAGAAATAAAAGCGATCCATGTGTCATACAGATCTATTGTGGCTGCGTTGTGTCACATGACAAGCATGACGCGTCGCCATGGAAACAATAAGGCGATACATTTTAAAATAACGGTCGCCTAAAAAAACTCACGCTGGGGGCTCAGCTAGAATATTTTAAACTCACGTGCGAAAGGGTTAAAGTAAAGTCGTAAATAATGACAACCAGTTCAGTTCAAGGCAAAACTTCTTAACCGGTTTAAATAAGATTATTAAAGCTCTATGGACTCACAATTGTCACTATCAAGATCGAGAAAACTTTCATGATCGATGCCCCTCTGTATTATATAGCCTAACAGGCAGCTTATCTAGACTTTCACACTCTTTATATAGACACAAATATAGCCAGTTTATTAGATTTGAATAAAACGGAGAATCGATAGGCTATACTGCAAACAGCACACAGTTATAGCCTACTGCGTACCTAAAGAATACTCCATACAGCCAAAACTTGCTACTTGTTACCAAATGCATACGCAGAGCCTCATGATCAAGTCACCATCTACCGTAGGCTACATATGAGCCGCAATATCTTAAGATCAATACTGGTAGGCTACATTCGGTTTAAATGTATAGGTACGAGCCTGTTATCAATGCCACGGTAGCAACACGTTGCGCTTCTTTACCAGTGATCTGTTTGCGCGCAGTCACAACAGATCGAACGTGTCATCTAATCGAAGTTTGCATTTCCAGTTTAAGCAATTTAATGATTCTTGAAAAAAAGTTGTGAAAAGTCTCACGAACCTTAGTGTACTTGATTTCAGGATTGGGTACCGGTGAGGGCACCAGATGAAGAGATGCCATGAGCGCAGCCGGGTCGTTCTTCACCTCTCCTGGCAGTTCAACTTTACTGGAGGTCATTGCGTTTCTTGAAGATGCCGGTTGGGTTTTTTTCTGCCGATTTGCGATTACTACTTTGGAATCCTTCCTGTGTTTATAACCAGGTGTCAGCCCTGGTCCATTTTTATTGGGCAGAGAATAGGGCCGTCCTCCTAATATAATTAAAATGGAGTATTTACATAAACTAGTCTCTCTCCCTTTCTGACCATACTGAGTGAGAGAGATACCACCCAATCTCAAGACAACAGTATGTAGGACTATCCGGATTTATCAGGAAGAAATTCACCTGACAGGCAGTAGTAAACTGCACTGTAAAAATGTTTTGTCAGGTAACCTGAAAACGTGTTTCATGTGGATCTAAATGATCAGTTGTAAGTAGCCTATTTAACACAGTAACACAACTGAATCTTAACTCGTTTTTAAGGTGAAGATCTGGTTTAAAAAAAATATTGTGATAACATTTAATATGACCTTATTAAAGACACATTTCAAGTGTTTTACACGAAAAACAATGTTCAAAATTATTCTATAAGATGTTTTCCAATAACCAATTTTTAACAAATCATGTAAACGGTAGGTATAAAACACCAGTCTGGTGGTCTAAATTTGTACAGTATACCACTAAACTAGGCTATCAATAACGTGTATTTTGCAGACCGACTGTTTGCTGGCTGAAATTAACAATAAAAACAGACTGCAGTATTAAAAATTAAGGTTAGCTAGGGTTTCTCGCCATTGGGGTGCTCAAACTGTCACGTAAACGTTAAAGTTTTCTTTGGCAAAGCCCGTTTGCCCCTTTCATTCTCACAGATTCTCCTGTAACATATCTATCCCGTCAGAATGTTATTCGACTATCTACATCAAGCGATCACAGGTTATTTCCTCGTCGTGCCTCCTGCAGCGCCGGGACTCAGTTAGCATTTACCTCAGAATATCCAATAAACAGTATAGACCATCTAAAAGGGCTTTTGACAATCTCAAAGAGGTTGTGGTTTAAAGAATTAGCCAACACAGACATTCACACTTCCACTGTGTAACTGGTGGATAAGGAAGCTTCAAAACACTAGATCGCGGCAAAAACATCTACGATTATGTCGCAGATAAATAAAACAAATAATCGCCTTCACACTTCCAAGGAGGAGCGTTGGAAGCGTTTACCATAACTTGCATGTAGTTGGAAACATCACGAATTTATGTAAAATCTTAAGCCTAATTGTTTATGCAACCATAATAATGTTCCTCTCAGTCCTGTCATAAAATATGTTGTTGTTCACACTGTATCCTGCTATTAAATAAATAAACATATGTCTCAATGAATGAATGAATATTAAACAATTCATTTGGGAAAATACGTAGGCCAACGTAGAAAACTGACTTTAGTGAACTGTCTGAATGGACTTGCGTGTTCTGTATGATGACCTGCAAAGGCTTGCAGTCCAAAAAGTTGTATGCCATGTACACTTAAATTGGCTACATAGATAGGCCTACTATAACTTAAACATTTTTTTAATGGGCAGGCTGCGTGATAGCAGTTATCATGTGTGACATGCTAAGGGCTGAGGGGCTGTTAAGATGATGAAGGGGACGGGGTGTTATAAGTTGTTAGAACCCACTGGGGTGCTTTTTCTCCATCAGCACATCCCCCTCATTTCACAGCGCTGACAGTGTCTGCCTCACATCAAAGACGACACCCCAGAACAAGTGACAGTGATTAATGCAAACAAAACATACCGCTACTACCATCCTATCGTTTCTTATTTTCACAGCCTGTACCTGCAGTCACTGGACGCCACCGTCAAACTCTGGCCATCTTTGGTTTTTACTTTGTCGAATAGCTCTACCCGGTGGACAAATATACGTATTACAAGTTGAAGTTGTGCTGCAATGTGCCTCTCCGAATGAGAACTGGAAATAAAACTCAAAAATAAGAAATCCCATTGATCAGCAAACAAGTAAACTAAACATATAAAATATGTTGTATTTAGTGAATAAATAAACCAAGACCTTGTGTTTAATTGTTGTTTTGCTTGTGCATTGTGCATGAGTTTTCAGCCAATTGACTAATGGGGCCCTATTTTAACGATCTAAGCTTATGGTCTAAAGCGCACGGCGCAGTTGCGCTTAGGGCGTGACCGAATACACTTTTGCTAGTTTAAGGACGGGAAAAATGGTCGGCGCGCCCGGCGCAAGGTCTAAAAGGGTTGTCCCTATTTTCTTAATGAGTAATGGGTGTGTTTTGGGCGTAACGTGCCATAAACCAATCAGAGTCTCATCTCCCATTCCCTTTAAAAGCCAGTTGCGCTCGCGCCATGGCGATTGCTATTTACACAAAACGGGCGCTTCTCTAGTGAGGGAACGGATCTGCTCGTGCGCGTAATTCTGATAGGCTACATGCAAAGACTATCCATTATGACATGTAGGCATTTTTATATTTATGTACACAATAATAATCTTTTACATTTTAATCCTTTAGTTTTTTTCATTTTTGCAAGTGGGCCCTATCATACACTCGGCGGCGCAAGGCGCGGAGCAAGTGTTTTTGCTAATTTCAGCCCGACGCAGTTCTCATTTTCCCGTCCTGCGCCGCTGTTTAAATAGCAAATGCATTTGCGCCCAGTTGTGCGCCCATGGGCGTGCTGGTCTAAAAAAGAGGTGTGTTCAGGCGCATTGCGGGCCGACCGTTTTCCCGTCGTTAAACGAGCACAAGTGGATTCGGACACGTCCTGAGTGCACCTGCGCCGTGCGATTTAGACCATGCGCTTAGATCAGGGATGGGCAACTTTGATAGTGATGAGGGCCAGAATTTTTTCTCCTTTATACCAAGGGGCCAGATTACTAATCCACGTCCACACACACCTTTTACACCGTCTTACTCAATTTCCTTTTTATTGAAGGAAATTAAAGTGTAACTAATGTTATTTGTTTTTAAAATTTTATTAACTATAAAACGTGTGCAGTTATGCTAATTCAGAAGGAAAACTTTGTTGTCAGTG